GTTAGAATTGACTCTTCCTAGAAATTGGGAAGAAATAATAGCTGATACATTAATTGTATATAAATTCTGAATTCTGTCAGAGTTTAAATGACAGCCTGGATAAGGTGAGCTTTGGGTTAGTAAAAAAGGATAGTAGCCAGAATGATTTATATTAATGTTTGTTTGCCAGTATGTAATAGATATTTGATTATTATTTTTGAAATGTCTGTGGATTTTGCCAATGATAATTTCATTGTCAGTATATGTAAATAACTAGGGAGTTTAGATTTTTTTGGGATATGTTGTAAACTGTATGTAAATGGATTATATCCTGGTTGTTGGTAATGTGGAAGAAGGATTCTGAAACTATTATGAGCTATTATGGTATCTTCTAAGTATGTGAACCATAATAGTTTTCAGCCTTTAGATAAGTATGACAGTCGTGGTGAAAGATGTTTCCACTTCAGTAAAGCAGTATTGTCAGTTGTACAGAGCGTATAAATTTTGTGAGCATAGAAATAATCATTTATTATTACATTAAAATGTTGATTTAAACTTATAAATATTTATCTTATATAGCACTTTCCAAGTATTCTACTTCACATTTTCTTGGTGTGCATTGGGATCATTTTATTATTCTATTTAAATTTTGTAAATCAAACTTATAAGCATTTTTCTTTGAAAGTGTACTTCTCACCATCAGATTTGCATTATTTTAGTAGAAATAAATATCAATTTATTATTCAATTTCAATTTATATATATAATTCAAGCTTTCAAATTTTTACATTTAATAGTGCCTTCTGGGTTATTTAATCTACATTAACTTAGTAGATATAAATTTAATTGTCATGGTTGATGCTAGAAACAACTGATGCTAGAAATTGGGATTCTATTTGACAATATAACCCTAATTAAACTATTTCTACTAATATACTTATAGTCTCCAGCATCAGAAATGTTTAGCACTAATTGTGAACTACTATACAGCATGAACTAAAATATCCAGGATACTTTACAATTTAAGCTATATATGGGTATTATAGTCGAAGGGATACTATTGAACAGGAGAAACTATTGATGTTATACAACTGATTCTTCATCCGGTGTGCAACATATAAAAGAATTATTTTACAATATTAGACCATTCCATTAGTACATAATGAGCTGGTGTTGGATTATAATCAATAACATGTACTAGCAAAATAATCAGATATTGTAAAATAATTTTTTTATATACTGCATACTGGGTGAAGGATCAGTTGTATGACATCGATGGTTTCTCCTGTTATACTATGATCAGCATATGGAGTATAAGTTATGCTATTTGAATACTGCAATAATATATTTTATATATTCTAAATGCAATTTATTCATATTTAGTACCCAGGTATTTACATTCTTAAGTGCAATTAATCTGTCCTTAGTACCCAGGATACTTTACATTTTAGGCCTCAAAAAACTGAGAGGGGTATTATAAAAGAGGTATTTAGTCCACATTGAATGTTAATTATTTTATAGGAATTTAAAATTATTAAATATATAAATACTACTTTTAAATAGTGCATTTAGGACTTTTTAATCCATTTTGTTTGATGAGTATAAAAGCCATTTCAATTATTTCGTATAAAATTATAATTTGGGTTAACATTTTTAATAAATAGTTCTTTCAGTATCATTTAATTTAATTGAATTTATGGGTGTATGAATTGTATTCATATGTCAATAATAATAGTTGAAGAATTGAATTGTAAGATATAAAAATAGTTATATTTTTCTTAAATTCTTGGCTGTTCGAACACATTTAAATATTTATTGTTATATAAAAAGATCTGAGAAAATGTATAACTGAAAAATTTTAAATGAATTAAGCTTTAATTTTTTCTATTTAAAAAAAATTTTAAAAGAAAAATAAATACTATATCATTTACTTAGGGGTGTATTAGATATACAGTTGGCTAAATAATATTTCTATCTAATTTATTAAATAAAAATTCAATTAAATGTAATTCATACATAATTTTATAATTTTATTTTATAATTGTTATAATAAATGTTTAGTATATATAGTAAATATCTATTATTGTGAAAATTTTAAATTACAGATTTGACATTTATAATTAGTTGTAGTTTTATATTACAAGTTTAATATGAGAACTTAAAAATTGTAAAAAATTGTATAATATATCTTTTTATTTGTAATATCAACTATTTAATTAACCAACTAACTAACTAAACAACCAACCAACTAATCGATTAAACTAGTTATGTAATATCATAATCGATTAGTTGCAACTATAGTTGGCAACTAATCAATTAGTGAAATTTTTACCAACTTGAAACACTATTCTGTAGATTACAGAGTTTTGCCTCTAGCTGAATTGAACCATTGACCTTGTTTGTAGAAGGAAAGGTGTTTAGACCACTAGACTACAGGACCCCATTCCTATATATATTACTTATAATAAATTAATTGTATATAATATTATAATATAGCAAACTATAACAATTTCTTTTTTACTTGTTAGTAGATATTCAATTGAAGTTAATGAATCAATTATTTTTTTAATAATCAAATTTTTAGTAAGAAATATTTCTGAATCTTCTATATTAGATAAAGATCTAGAAACCTTTTGGAAAAAAAAATCCATGAAAAAAATATCTTTAAATGTATTATCAATGTTAATGTTTTTAAAATTTTCATTAAAAGAACTATTTTTTTTGAAAAATATTTTCTCTGTCAATTTTGTTAAAAAAATTATTTTCTTCAAAGACATTTTCTTCATCAAAGAAACTATTATGTAACAATATTGACTCATCATCAGAACTAATATTCTCTAAAGATATCAACATTTTATTTTTAAAATCAAATTTTTTTTTTTTGAAAAGATAAAAAAAATCATCGTTACAATCACTGCATTTGCTATTTAATGACCATATTAGATCTTAGGCTTTTAAACTATCAATATAATGCTATAAACTCAATCTATTAAATTTTTGGACCTGATACTATAAGTCTAAAAGCCCAAAGGCATTTTCTATATCTGCATAAATTTTATATACATTTGCATACTATACACAATATATTACTCTATACATAGCTGTGACCTCACTAATCATACATACGTGTTTGCTAATTTAATGTATCATATGCTTAGTCTTTGCTCTATTCTACTATACTACTATTCATATTACTCAAAATTAATTGTACATATTGAATCACTAGAACTATAAATTTGATTGATTTGTTCATAAATAGGATATTTGACATAATGTATAAGCTTATATGTTATTATTCTGATTAAACAATGTCATATGTATTAGAAAAATGTAACAAAGTTAAAATTATTTTTAATAAATAATGATAAATTTAAATAGGTTATTTCAACTGTACTGAAATTATATGTCTTACATTGTGAGACCCAAATGGACCCTGGCCATCCGGGTGGGATATTACTTAATTAGAAAAGGAGTCAATCGCATCCGGCATATTCATTACATTATCACATGTGACGTATATGTCGAATATGGCAGATAGCAGTGATCGAGTAGAAGGAAAGTATCAGTAGGATATGATTGATTAATAGTATCAGTGATATTAATCGTATTTATTACATAATGTATATAGATAATTTTAATTATAAATAAAGGCTGAACAGGACCTTTGGGAAGATAACTCCCTTCTTGACAACAAATATATAACACATATAATATATAATTACCCATAATAAAACTACTGTTAAAAATACTACTACATGAATAACTTTATTAAATACAATCGTTTGTTACATAAACTATCCCTAACTTGAGACTCTGTAAAAAGTACACCAGTTAGTTAACTAACTCCAATCTGACATATCCTGCATCAGTAGCTCCGACCCTTTTCAAACAAACTACTCAACAAATCTAACATGCCTCTTTTAACCTGATTTACTGACCCTAAAGGTTACATAAGAGATCCGACTGATTAGTAACTGACTCGCCATTTTACAATTACAATTTGGTGGTGACTGTGAGATTCGAAACGATAACTATCCCTTCCTCTCTCTGATTGAAGGAATGAACAAAGAACTATTAGAATAAGAACTAGGCAATAGAGAGAAACACAAAAAGCTAGAACAAATAGAGAACTACTTCTCTGATATCCATAAAACCACTTTAGCCATGAATAAGGACCAACTTAAGAAGCTATTGGAGTCACTAACTGACTTGTTAACCAGGATCACCACAATGATTGCAGATTCAAAGAAAGACTCTGAAGACAGAAAAGAATTGGCACATGTTAGGATTGACCTCTTCTATGAAAATGATGATGAAAACCTAATTGAATAGTTGGAAGCATTGAGAGAGCCTCAGTGGCCAACAATTGAACTAAGAAGAGAATGCTGAAGATCGCATCTGAGTACCTCAAGAGCCTTGCTGCTGATTGGCATAAGGGAAAGAAAAATGAACTGAAGGACTGGAAAAATGAAGAAAATGAAAAGGAAAGCTTCTATTACAGTTTTATTGACTTCTTTGCAACCCTGAAGAAGTGCCATAGGTGGCAAATTGAACTCAACAACCTCCAGCAGAAGAAGGATGAGAAGGTTGATACCTACACTACTAAATTCAAGCAGCTCTTGAAGAGAGTTGATCCAAACAATGACCTTCCTGATACATATGTAATTTGGATATTTATAATTGGTCTAAGAGGAAAAACTGCAACATTTGTGACTGTATTGGAGCCAGAAGACCTGGAAAAAATGATTATCAGTGCAAGAAGAATAAAAGCAGGTGAGTATTATAGAAAGCAAATGATCGAGAAAAACCAAAGCAAATTGATTGAAGAGGAATTAGAGAATTTGTCTAAGAAAATAGAGCAGATGGCCCTCAATCACATCACCCTCACTCATAGAAGCAAAGAAACTTCTATAGAAGAGAAATGCTAAAGGCCACATGAGAATGAGAGAAGAAATCCACAAGATAATAAAAAATAAATGAAGGAAATCATCTGCTATAATTGTGACGAGACTGGACATATCACCCAGAAATGTCTATCAGAAAGAAAAACAAGAAGGAACATTGAAGAAACAAGAAAAGTTAGTAACTATATGGAAAGGTTTGATCAGTATAAGGACAATGACAACAGATGGTACGAAGATGAGGTGTACATTGTAGATGAAAGACAACTCTAACCTAGCACTAGCAGCATCATCTAAGAAAAAAGAACACAAAAACAACTAGGTGGATGCTGAGAGAAACGATTAAGATCTCAAAAAGCCAATGAGCATCTTTTGGTAAACTTGGAAGGACCTAAACTCATGGAAAATGATGTGTTTGTTCCAGAAAGAAGACCTTGACACAAGAGGAACCCATCAATAGTTGATACTTTGACCTTGTATAATGTAGCTGATAATATTTTGTTGATGATGGCTAATGCCACGATAGGTCAAATACTTCAATATCTAAATTAGTAACAAAACCTAGCCAAAATTCTGTATAGACCCTTACTCCCAATCCAGAAAGCCACCCACATCAAATTCAATAACAACAAATGAACCACTGTCACCTGTTGTTACATAAGAATAAAGGGGAACCCAGTTGTAGTCATACTCGATTCTGGGGCTCCTATAAGCATAATGACGAAAAAGTTAGTCGATAAACTAGGGCTGAAAATTCAAGAAAAATCCTCCACCATAGTTGTTACAGCAACTGGCACCAAAACCCATGCTTTAGGAAAAATTAACAACATAAAGATCACCTTCCAAGATATAATAATACCCAGCACCCTCCAAGTGATTAAGTCTATGGATAAAACTCTACTCTTAGAAACTGATTGGTTTCTAAAAGTACAAGCCTGGTTATACTTTGACAAAGGCATCTCTACTTGAAATATCATAATTATATAGTTTAGGTTCCAATATCTCATTCTGGCAATAGTGACCTTCAAGACCCAACCTGAGGGGATGACAAGAGCAAAAGTGGAGAAACTTTCAATAAATTTAACTACGAAGATAAAGAACTATTAGAGACAGAGGGTTACCATACAGAGGAATCTTTAATTGAAGAAGGTGAATTATACGATAACCCATGGGCAGATGCTGAAAGTCCAGCCATCTACTTAACTGTCGTAGAAGACACTCCTACCCAGGATGCAGGACCTCCAAAATGTGATATTAAAGAATACTTGGAAGAATTTGCCCAAATAAAAGAATTGAATATCTAATAGCAAGAACAAGCTTGGGAATTCTTTTGTCAAGAGAAAGGCCTCTTTGTACAAGATACAAAGGAGCTAGAAGAAACCTCAGTACTAACTCACATGATCGATACTGGAGATACCAAACCCATAAAGCAAAACCTATATCATATCACCCCTAGCGAACAAGAATTTGTTAAAAAGGAGCTAAAAGATATGAAGGAAAGAGGATTAATTATATGATCTAGCAGCCTATGGGCCTCTCTTATTGTGATAGTACCTAAGAAGAGTAGGAAATTAAGACTTTGCATCAATTACCGCTGGGTGAATGCCATCATAAGAAAAGATGCCTACCCTCTTCCATGAATCGATGACTTGTTAGAGGAATTCTAAAATGCAAGATGGTTCTCAAGTCTGGACCTGCAAAGTAGATATTGGCAGATTAGAAAGGACAAGAAAGGCAGAGAAAAGATTGCATTTGTCACCAAGGCAGGACTTTACGAATTTAAAATCATGCCATTCGGGCTGTGCAATGCCTCTGCGACATTCCAAAGGCTAATGGATTGAGTTCTGGCAGAATACTTGGGGAAATTCGCCATAGTATATATAGATGACATCAATGTATACTCCAAGACATTCAAGAAACATTTGGTGCATCTACAGAAGGTATTTGAGAAGCTGGAAGAAGCCAGGTTGAAGATTAATGTTGAAAAATGCAAGTTTTTTCAACCTGAAATCCAGTTCCTAGACCACATAGTCAGAAAGAATAGGATTTGACCTGATGAATCAAAAATAGAGAAAGTAAAGACCTTCTCAATTCCAAGAACTATGCGGCAATTAAGAGCATTTATAGGCTTGGCCTTGTATTACTGATGATTTATCAAAGGATTTGTCTTTATTGCCAGACCTCTGCACTAGCTGCTCCAAAAAGATGTTAAATATGAATAGGGAGAAGAACAAAATGATGCTTTTGAAACACTTAAAAATCACCTGATTACCACCCTGATATTGTAATATCTGCACTTAAATCATACATTCCATCTCTACACCGATGCATCAGGAATGAGACTAGGTGCAGTGCTAACCCAAAAGGAAGATAAAAAGGAGTATGTCATCTCCTACACAAGCTGAAGTTTGACTTGGGCAGAAAGGAATTACTCTACTACTGAACAAGAGTGCCTGGCAGTACTTTGGGTGATCGAACACTATCACCACTATTTTGAATTTATGCTATTTGTTGTGGTAATAGACCATTCGGCATTGAAGTGGCTTCAAACCTCCAAGCTAAAAGGAAGAAAGGCTAAATGGATTCTGCACCTCCAACCATATAATTACACTATCGAATACCAGTCTGGAAAGGTTCACAGTAATGCTGATGCCTTATCATGATGGCCTGAATCAATAGAGCTAACCTCTAATGAAATGAACAACAATGACTTAGCTGCTCTAAAATAACTTGAAATATATACAGAGTATGAACACCAACTTGCCCATGAGGAGGTAAAATTATACTAAATAGATGTCGATGGCCCTACAGATAATGAAATGAGTTGGAATAAGTATGGAAATAGTAGTGAAATGGAATAGGACGATTACGAAGAATCAGAAGACGATCCTTATGACTCTGGATATTCATGCAGCTATTACCTTGAAGTGGAAGAAGTCTGGTAGGACCTAACTGAGTAAGAAGAATATGGGATAAAAGAGAGAGAATGTATGTACCTGCTTGAAAATATTCTTGCTGAACCCAAAAGAAAATACCCATATAACTGTCTTAATGAAAACTTACAAAAACCTCCAAGAAATGAGGATCAATAGACTATAGAAGAAGCCTACATGGTGGATGACTGCTTCAAAATCAAGCCTGAAGAATGATTTCTTACTACCACTATAGATGATCACATCACAAGAAATGGGTAGTATGAAGAAGAAGAAGTCAAAGTATTCTTAACTATCATCTGAAATGAATTGGAACTCGACGAGAAATTGAATGATGAGGAGCCTATTCCCAACCACATTCCAGGTGATGAGCCATTTGAACCATATGATGATGAGAGATACATTAGCAGATCCTATAAAAAGAAAGTAAGATACTCAATGATTCTAGAATCGATAGCTCTGGAAACATTCAAAAGAGACTGAGCTCCTCTGAATGATAAGCAAGACGAAGACCCGTGTCTTGTAGAAGAAGATAAAATCATGCTAGAGAAAAAATGCAAATGATGTGTAATTCAAGAAATTAATGAGATCCTTGCTCGACACTGTTTTGAGGACATTCTCACAGATGCTCCCACAGACATCTGTAACCATAAAATGATAACCACTAAGATGAGTTATTGACCACAGTCAATGGATAAAATAAAGTCACCCAAGAGACTGAAAGTGACATGATAGAAGAACAATAATAATAATAATAATAATAATAAAAAAAGTATATATAATAGTTTTTCCCTTAAATAAAATAGAGTAGATTGTAGTAACATGTGTCACAGACCTAACAAACTTAAGGAAGGTTAGGATGTGTTAGAGCGGGTTGTAAGGCTTCAATTAAATTGATGCTGAATTAATAAGATACTTTAGAACAACTAGAAAACAAAAGTCAAACATAAAACCTGACGTTAAAAGAAAATCCAGTCCAAATAGTTGGTGTTCTGGCCCTAAAGAAAATGGAACCTATGTTATACTTCAAATTAGATGTTACCTACAAGATAGTCACCTTCCTAGACGAATAGAAGAATTTCAAAGAAAAAAGATAATTAGAATTAGCAAGACGTTGGAATTAGAACAGGGATTGCTATACAAGAAAAATAAACATGAACTTACCTAACTGCTAAGAGTAGCATAAGAACAGAAAATTAATGTAATATTAATGATAGTGTATATTCATCCACTAGAAGGACATTTCAGGGTTGAAGCCAACTACAATAAAATTCGATAGATATACTATTGGCCAAAAATGCTGAAAAATGTCAAGAGATATGTTAGAACCTGTGATGACTGTCAGAGAAGAGGTAAAAACAAAGCCAAAGAACCCCTCTACCCAATTCTAGTATCAGCGCCATTCTACCAAGTAGGAGTAGATATCATAGGACCTTTGCCTATCATTGCTCAAAATAAACGATACATTGTTGTTGCTACTGATTATATGATGAAGTGGCCTAAAGCCCAAGCCATCGAAGCTGCAAATGCTCCAAAAGTAGCGAATTTTCTCTTCAATGAAATCATATGCCAACATGGGTATTCTGAGAAAATTCTAACTGATAGTGGTTCCTATTTCTGAAACCAACTGGTAGACGAGCTTTTAGAAAAATTCTGAATTAGGCTCTGTTAATTACTCTATATTACCTGCAAACTAATGGGTTAGTAGAATGTTTTAACAAAACATTATATAAAGCAATAGCAAAATTGTTAAAATACATCACTGACTGAGACCTCATTATCCCTGCCATACTATTCGCATACCAGACCACCTAACATTTGACTACAAGGGTAATACTCTTTTTTCTTATACATGGTCGAGAAACCCGACAACTAATACAACTCATTAGTACTGGAGAATTAGAAACTATAATCAAATAGGCCATAGTATTGTTGGACTACCTACCAAAAATTTGAGAAGAAATTGTCATACGAATTTATCATGTCCAATGTTGACAAAAAGAGTATTATGATGCAAAAATCAAGAAAACACTGAAACTATTCGTGGGAGACAAAGTCCTTCTTTACAAGGCTGCAGGTGATGATACTAGAAGTGGCAAACTGGAACCAAAATGGAAGGGCCCCTTCTACATACATAAAAAATTTCCCAATGATGTTTACAAGATATGAATGCTTGATAGGAAAATTTTGGCAGTGCCAATTAATATCTAGCTGTTGAAAAAGTACTATGATCAACCAATGGACAATAGGATTCAGGTAACAGAACTCCAAACTGAAGGATAATCTCAACGATAACCTAAAGTAGACGAAGATCAGATATTAATATGTCAACAGTCTTAATTCAGGTATGATCTATTTTAATAGTAAACTGTAATACAAAAAAAAAAAAAAAAAAAAGTAAACAAACAAGCAAGAAAGATAAGGTGGGAGAAAAAAAAAAGGGGAATGAAAACAAATGTGCAATGAGTGGGAAAATCCTAGCAACAAGCAAGAGTATAAAATCGCACAGAAATCAGCAGAAAGAGAGAGTAAGAAAATCGATCAACATTTAAAATGCCCATTTATCGGAAATATTAAATGACATCACCAATCCTGTGCCTGCCAGTGTGGTTATGGCTCCACCGCCCTTTTCGGAGTTACAAGATCCTGAAACTTGCATAACCCTGACTTATCCTCATCTGGCTCAGGCTATCTGATATCGACAGTGAGTCGAGACCCTAGTGTACGCTTACTATATTGGCATGATATTCGCCCACAGTACCCCTGCCCAACAGAGGGCCCTGCAAAATTTGATCACCAAGCATTATTACCTTACCGCCATAAAGGTATATGATATATTTTCTGTGTGTGGTGGCCTGGCACAGATTTATCAGACCACCAAGCTGAAGTTCTGTGACATTCGACGGCTCAAGACTGAAGAAGTGGGCCAGTTGATTGAAGATCTACCCCCCCTCGTAGAACTTGGAATCTAGTTGGGGAGAAATGTGGGACCCGAATGGACCCTGGCCGTTCGGGTGGGATATTACTTAATTAGGGAAGGAGTCGATCGCATTCGTTGTATTCGTCACATCCGTCACATGCGACCGATCAGTCGCATGTGACGCATACGTCGAATGTGGTGGATAGCAGCGATCGAGTGGAAGGGAAGTATCAGTAGGATACGACTGATTAATAGTATCAGTGATATCAGTCGTATC